CCCCCCCTCCATCCTCACTCTGTATTACACTCACTGACCCCCCCTCCATCCTCACTCTGTATAACGCTCACTGTATAACGCTCACTCTGTATAACGCTCACTCCGCTGTCAGTCCGTCTATAAAGATGAGACTCAGTCACTTCCGGTGTGAGAGACACGTCATGCAGCCCTATACTGACGCGGTCGCACCGGAAGTGACGCGGGCGCACCGGATATCCTATAATGGAGTATTACCTCGCCCACCATTGGCTATAGGCCAATCAGATAACTTACGGAGTGCTGGGGGCGGGGCTTCTCAGGGACTTATTCTGCCCAGCCTCCCAATACAAATAAACCAATCAATTCCTTTCTGGCAAAAGGGGCGCGGCTTGCCGCGAGTCAGTCCCGCCCCTTAAACCAATTCAGTAGCGGTCACTGTGAGAATGTCAATACAGACTATACCCCGCCCCCCCGCCCAGAGCCCCGCCCCCCTCCCCAGAGACCCGCCCCTCCCCCCAGAGTCAGATATGGAGTTAGACCTCCATCATGGGAGTCAGATATGGGGTTACAGCTCCTCCATGGGAGTCAGATATGGGGTTACAGCTCCTCCATGGGAGTCAGATATGGGGTTACAGCTCCTCCATGGGAGTCAGATATGGGGTTACAGCTCCTCCATGGGAGTCAGATATGGGGTTACAGCTCCATCATGGGAGTCAGATATGGGGTTACAGCTCCATCATGGGAGTCAGATATGGGGTTACAGCTCCATCATGGGAGTCAGATATGGGGTTACAGCTCCATCATGGGAGTCAGATATGGGGTTACACCTCCATCATGGGAGTCAGATATGGGGTTACAGCTCCATCATGGGAGTCAGATATGGGGTTACAGCTCCTCCATGGGAGTCAGATATGGGGTTACAGCTCCTCCATGGGAGTCAGATATGGGGTTACAGCTCCATCATGGGAGTCAGATATGGGGTTACAGCTCCATCATGGGAGTCAGATATGGGGTTACAGCTCCATCATGGGAGTCAGATATGGGGTTACAGCTCCATCATGGGAGTCAGATATGGGGTTACAGCTCCTCCATGGGAGTCAGATATGGGGTTACAGCTCCTCCATGGGAGTCAGATATGGGGTTACAGCTCCTCCATGGGAGTCAGATATGGGGTTACAGCTCCTCCATGGGAGTCAGATATGGGGTTACAGCTCCTCCATGGGAGTCAGATATGGGGTTACAGCTCCTCCATGGGAGTCAGATATGGGGTTACAGCTCCTCCATGGGAGTCAGATATGGGGTTACAGCTCCTCCATGGGAGTCAGATATGGGGTTACAGCTCCTCCATGGGAGTCAGATATGGGGTTACAGCTCCATCATGGGAGTCAGATATGGGGTTACAGCTCCATCATGGGAGTCAGATATGGGGTTACAGCTCCATCATGGGAGTCAGATATGGGGTTACAGCTCCATCATGGGAGTCAGATATGGGGTTACAGCTCCTCCATGGGAGTCAGATATGGGGTTACAGCTCCTCCATGGGAGTCAGATATGGGGTTACAGCTCCATCATGGGAGTCAGAT